GAGTTTTAATGAATTTTTAATAAATATTTGGTTAGAAAAAGAGTTGTTTGATCAAATTATTCTGCCATCGATAAATAACAACAGAAGTTGAGAATGATTACTCTACTTCTTTAAATTCCCACGGTAGTCAATATTTTGTTTGAGTTATGAATAAAATTTTGATGATATATTGTTATTGTTGTGTTCTTTTTTGTTTGTGAATCACACCCAAAGAATGAGTGCAAAGAATTAGAGAGAAAGAAAGTGGGAGAGAGTAGTGAAAGAGAGAGAGAACATTGGATGGCCGAGTTAAGGTTGTTTTGAGCAAGACTTCAATAATCATATGTGTGTGTTGGTTCCAAAATTCAGATCTCGTTTTACATTTAATGCCCTAATTTTATAAGCTTTGGCTTCTCTGAAAAGACCAAAATAGGCCTTCATTATGCATAGACTTCAAGGAATGTGTGGTTATTTCTTTTGTCATATCATCATTAAATTAGGATCTTGTGATAAGATCTCCTTTTCAAAGTCAACTAGACACCTAAAAGTGACGATGATATCTTATTCTTAGTTACATTTCTTTCAATAATGAGTGCTTGGACTTGAGGACTTGAGTACGTGATCCTGACTAGTCGGCTCTAAGTATTCAATCTTGAGTACTTACCAGCCTTCGCTCGACCATCTGACATCATAGGTTCGCCATCTTGGTTACTCATTTTAAGGTTAGTCTTCTGATGGACTTGAGGTCAAGATTGTACTGAGCTTTGTATTTTGCAGATTTGGGTAGCTGCTTCTAGTTATGCATATTTAATTTTTCAGTTAGTTTTTCTTTTAGAAAATCTTGCTGTGATAAGAATAAGAGAATTAATATACAACTATTGACCACCAAGTTATTTTAAATAATACATAGATATGAACACTCCCTTGAATTCCAGATATTGACTTTATAAATACTGCAATGAGACATCCTTTGAGTTTGTTTGTGTTCAACACCTTTAATTGCATCTTAAATTTAGTCACCTATTGTTCACATAATTTTTTGTGGTGGATCCTAGTCATTTGAGAACATACATCTCAAATAAGGAACTGTTGTAGGACATGTTTGCTAAGTAAAGAGCGGTCGACTAGAGGGGGTGCAATATGCCAAAAAAATGGTGGAAGGAAGGTCCACCCTCTAACCAAGGAGAGGCATCGAGGGTGACTGCTAGAGTGGTCAACCAGAAAGTGGATTCAGATGCAGGGATCCAACCAATGAACTACTTCTAAAGGCAAATGTTTTGGCTTTTGCGATCGCACTCATCCATGAGGAGGCGATTATATGAGAACACACTCCTAAAATATTGAAGGTTTTAGCTTAATTAAAATCAACTTTTTTGTTTAGAATGTAATTGTTTTGTCCATATTAGGATAAGACATGCTTTGCTTTTACTT